GAGTAAAACTCTAACACAGAGAAGACCTCCCCAAAACGCCTCGTTGGAGATACGTCACTGTCCATTGACTCTTCCGGGTACCGCATGATGTCAACCGTACCCGGAACCAAATGGACCAATCCGTGGAGCCGTTACGTTACGTCCATGGAGCCGTTACATTAAGCCCCCGCTGATTGGTCCAAATTGACCAATCCACACACACACTCAGTGCATGCAGCTCTGCTGATCTCTCCTCCCTGGCTGCAGGCTGATAACAGACAGTTGGGATCGCAGCGAAATTCTCTCTGCAGACCCATTCTCACAGCATTTATCAACCTATAAACCTTTTTCTTACTCGATATCAAGCCACACTTATTGTTTTTATTTCGGCTGTGACTTTGTGTGTGTTCAGGTTGAGTTTGGCTGTGTATCGCTAAACAAGGAAATCACACCTCCACGGAGCTCAGCGCGATTTGTACCGACCAATCAGAGCACACTGGGCTCAAAGGGAGGGGGGGAGCTGCAGCGAGCCGTTTAGTGAAGAAAGTTAATACTGCTGAATACACATACTTTACAGAGATGTATGCGAAACCAATGTGAGTTTGGAAAATTGCACAGTATTTTTCTATTTTAGTATACCTCAACAATGGAATTATGATCAGTGGAAATGGCCATGACATGGGACCTTTAAGATTAGACAAATTACATCAACTGGTTTTGTTTAGCTTTTGTGTCAAAAGTGTCCCACATCCAATGAGACTGATCCTAGGACCTTCAGACTGTTGCTTTTTTCCCCTTACCGGGGTGAAAGCAGTTAACACGATGTCCCACTGAAATGTGAAAATGAGATTTCAGATGTCCATAAAGCTTTTATACAGAGTAAAGCAGCAAGGCTGTAGAGGTTATTTATGATTTTCAGTTAAAAAGAAAGAAAACTGAAACTCTGTCGCTCATCCAGGTAGAACGTACTGCTGGGAACACATTGTGAAACCCAGATAATGAGGTATGAGGTATAATTCGTTTTTTATGCATCATGACAAATAGTTATATTTTTGTGCTGTGAGCTGAAGGTCAAACAAAGTCAAAGTCCAAGCTGAAATTGTATAGATAGTGTTTGAAACATTGTCAATTTTAATGTGTTGTTTGGAGTAAGAACTGGTCCAAAAGCAAAGAGGATCCAAACAAGTGTTATTATTATTTCCTTACTTTGGTCTAAATGTATAATAATAAACTCTCATGGCAAACCTACAAATCTGCAGTTTAATTCCTACAGGGTCCGATGTGATTATCTTCATGTTAAAGACTTACTTCTGATTAAAGCAACTTATTTTGCTTCATTTTGAAATGTTGTGTTTCTAACGTTCCCAATATAACTCTGTATGTACCACTTGTATTTCCAATGCTGACTCAACTTGGATATCAGTATATCTCTGTCTCTCTTCACTCTGCTGCCATCTTCTGGTACAGGTGCAAGACTGCTTTGCTCCAACATTTGAGCAAGTTGCATGAATGGTTTCACTGGGGAGGCCGACCTATTCAGACTTATTTCTCGTTTCTTTTCATATCCTGTAAGCCCTGTCAGTTCATTTCTGGAGTCTGATGCCTTAATAATAAACACAAGTAAAGCTCCGTGCAGGTCCGCCGTTGTCAGTACGTCGACACGTCACGTAGATGCTTTCCGGACTCGTCCGGGGGCAAACGTGGGAAGTTTCGGACCAATCGGACAGTTTCTATAGGAGTTACAGCAGGAACATAAACATTATGTTTGATGGCAAGTGATCTATCGCCATGGCAACGGCCTATTATGACACCCCATAATACGCCTATCTGCTGAGGGCTGCATCGTTGTTAAACATGTTGACACGCCGTTTGGAGCAAAGGCAGAAGGTTTATTTAAATGTTTGCTGATCACAGTTCAAGTTTATTGCAGTAAAGCCTTGAACCCAGTTAAATGAACATTGCTGTAATCACAGTATGATCAGATGATATGAACATATAGGACCATGCACTTACACTGAGGATCAAGTATACTGTACAATGTCAATTTTTACACAATTGTATTAATACTCATTAAATGTCTTTGGTAAAGAGTCTAGCCTTTTCAGTCAGCATTACAGTTATTTAGGGCTGCATATTAATCTAATGGGCATCACAGTTGCAATAGGAGCCTGTGCGATTATATAACCAAAAGGCTATGATTTAGTTGAAAAACAAAAGTGTGTGAATGTGACAGCGTATTCACTGTTTGTGTAATCTGATTAACATGTACCCACATGATGCATAGCTGACTAATCAGTCTGTGTTTGTTATGATGCGTTTGGTCACCTTACTGTGCAGAGAAGAGCGGGAGACTTGTGGAAATGGATGCTAACGCTAATCAGAAGGTAGACACTGAACTGCTGGCCAAATAAAACATGACCTCTGTTGTATAATTATACTTTGACTTTAAGCTCGGCTACAATAAGACCAAACTTTGAAAAATAAATGTTGCTACAGATCAGGGGTGGTACTAGGGGAGGACCAACGGGGTCCAGTGCCCCCTAACACTGACTTTGGACCCTCCTGTGGCCCCCCTAAAAATGAAAAGTTTATGATTAAACGATTTCTTGGCTGACGGTATCGGCGGAACTAACGTTATTTGTCATTCTAGTCGGACCCATTAGAGCGTAGAAACTGTAACCATAAATATCTGAAATAAATATGTGTACTGAAACAAATACCAATAACTGTATTGCATTGTTTTCTTATGCGTAATTACTTCATACTGTCTTTCTTTTTTTCGTCGTGCATTTATTGTGCCCCTCTCAGAAAATAACTGGCCCCAGCCTGGCCCCCCCCAGTCAAATTGGTCTAGAAACGCCTCTGCCTACAGTACGCAGCAACACAACACATTTGTACCATCCCCTTAAACAGTGAAAAGTAAGAAGAATGCGCAACAACTAAAGTTCAGATTTATAAAGATAGAGTAACATTACAGTCGTCATTGTTTTGGTAATTTAAATTACCTTTCCCATTTTTAAATTGAAAAGACGTTATACATTGTCGTCATACATCGTTATATTTTATACTTTATTTATATCAGACAAACTTTTTCCCACAAAAACCTTTTCCAAAGTAATGTATCACACATTAGGAAACAGTGGTGATATTCATTGTTCTACTGTTGAGAAATCGGCCCAAAGCAGTTTGCATAAATGCCATTAGTTTGAAAGAGGATATCTCTGTTGTTATTCATTAAATGTTCTTAAATATTATTTATTATTTTATTGTTATTTTGAAAACAGTGCTTTAATGTTCCAGTTTTTGAACTTATGTTACTTTAGTTTTGTATGAATGACTTGAGAAATACACCTTTTAAAATGAGGAGTAGTCTGTGCATTTTCCTTTCGATAACTAATCAAGTATACCCATGAAAGCATTTATATTATAATATTGCATTCACAAATCGCAATATAACTTTTACATGCAGCCTTTCTGTTTCTGTAATTATTTTGCACCTTTATGCATGAAAAAAGAAAAGACAATCGTAAGCTTTTAAATGTATTTTATTATATTGCGAATAACAGTGAGCAGTTAGTCGTTAACCAAGGGAAAAAACGTCTTTGGCGAAGTGCACTGGGTACTTTCCTTCACATCTGATTACAATGTACCTGGTGTCACTTTTACCTTTGTACTGACATTTGGGTTTATTGTTCCCTGTCTTCAGTCTGCAGACGACAATGGGGAAGGGTTGGGTGCTTATGGTCAAACCACCATCATATGGCTTTCCTGCTTTCCCACATACTTTTGTGACTTCGCGGCTGGTTGCTAGTATGAAGGTATTGGTGTCCTTACACGTGCTACTGTCAGTTTCGGTGATCTCTTTCCTCCCCATCTCCTTGTCACACCTGTTTACATTCATTTTCTTGATGATGTGCTGTTTTACAAATTTGTTGTGAGGCCCATTCATAGAGCTCACTGTAGCAGAAAGCAACAGCAAACAAGCAAATGAGATCCACATGATTCCCTGGTGAAGAAAATAAGGGGAAAAACTTTTGTTAGAGAATGAATGGCAGCATAAATGAGTACTTATTATAATGAATATTTACCGTATGCAATTACATTTTATGAGACGTGGTTTTGTAGCGCACTGTTATCAAATTATACTTGTTACAAGTACTCAACACGATGAAATCAATGGACTCGTATTATATTAAAATGCATTTTATGGTTGTTTTTCTTTTTATATTGTCCTATTTTGCAGAGTTAAAATATATACATATTTGTTGGACATATTGTTTGTTGAGATTAAAGGTGTCTTAAGAAATTGAAATACATATTGAATGAGTGTTGCTAAAAACATTGTTTTGTATTTAGCTTTTACGTGTTACAGACCTGCAGATAAATCAGGTAAGACAACATCGAGCACAGTCATGAGGAACAACAAAAAATCAATGTTAAACTCTTACCGACTGCAGCATTATAAAAGGGAGAGTAATAAGAAAATACAAAACTTTTCAGTGTAATGTGGTGCAATTGATAAGGTTTTTACTCAGTCCGGGCATAAAAGGTGTGTCCTTTACACACCACCACGAGGTACCGATAAACTCCCTTCTTTCTATACTACCTCCATTCATCAATTTTACATCATTTATCTTTTCCTGTTAGTTTATCCCTTTATATTTTAGTCACAGACCTTAATGAACAAACCTCTGAAACCTTTGGGATGTTAAGCACTACTGCCGTAATTAAGATCAAACGATCCTTGCGACCTCCAATATGACTTACTTTTTCTGCAACAGAGTTGACTAAGTGCTACTTACCAGCTGTTATCTCTGGAGACTGCAGTTGCAGTTGTGCAAGTCCACTATTTTGCAAGAAGAACTGAGTACAAGAGGAACTGCTCTCCAATGGTCTTCAGTCTTCTTTATATCTTCTTTTGTCACGTGGTTTGTCACCTTGTGCGTGCAAGCTCGTACGTAAGAGGCGTTCTTCTTCGTTGCTTTGTGGTTAACTGTTCACTCCAAAACACTCCAAAAAAGGAGTGCGTAGATGAAATGTTCATCTCCTCTGAAAGAGGAAGTGCTGAGAAAGTCCATCTCCTCTGAAAGAGGAAGTGCTGAGAAAGTCCATCTCCTCTGAAAGAGGAAGTGCTGAGAAAGTTAATCTCCTCTGAAAGAGGAAGTGCTGAGAAAGTCCATCTCCTCTGAAAGAGGAAGTG